GGTGAGGGAGAAGGCAGTTATTATATGTTCTCGGTCGATCTTGCGTTCCTTGAACGTACGGGTGTTGGCTAATTGTTTACTGAACCGGTCGTCTCAAATTTGGCCACCAAACGTTGAAGAGTCGACTGTGAAGGGCCACCACGTCTACCGTAAAATGGGCGCAATGCGCGCAACGTTTGCGTTAACGAACACTCATTTTGATAATACAGTTTTATCATTTGAACGTGCTGTTCAATCGTGTAACTTGCCATGATGATTTGGCATAAACAACTGAATAATAAACAAAAGATTTGACAGATGTCACCAAAACAAAATGGCCGCCACGGGGCGCCAAAATCTACCCGCGCCAATTGAAAAACCCTTAATAGCTTGCCGTTAGTTTTACCAAGTCTTTTTTCACTCACTGAGGTAGTGAAAAACATAAACTTTTTGAGCAAATAGTATAGCCACCAAAGCCCGTGGGTTGGGCTATCTATCGGGCGCGTCCCCAGGTGGGGACGGCCAGGGGACTGGAGGCCCTGTCCGGGAAGCCAATGTGGCCTTACGGACGGGGTCGCCGGACTCCTGGTCAGTGGCAGAAATAAGTAGGATGGAAGTCTTCAACACCAACTGTTTTATGGGCCTGGCAAAAATATATCAAGCTCCAGTGATAGGTGAGTTGCACAGCATTCTAGAGGATGAGTGAAAGTTGTTTTCCGGTTTTTTGGCCGTCGAATGCAGGTTTTATGCCTGCGTAATGTAAACCACTGGAAAATCCATCGACTATTTTGAGAAATAAAATACCATAAACAGTAAATATTGTATGAATTTATTAGAGTGTTTGAATGTCAAAATTGCAAGTAAACGACCGCATATGGCAATGAAAAACAATTTGTTTCATCAAGATAACACACCGTGTTACGAGTCAATCAAAACAAGGCAAAGCTACATGAACTGAACTTCGAATTGCTCCCACATCCACCGTATTCGCCAGATTTGGCTCCCAGCGACTACTTGCTCTTTGCAGACCTCAAAAAAATGCTCACCGGTGAGAAAGTTCGCCCGAATGAAGAGGTTAGTGCTGAACCTGAGGCCTATTTTGAGGCAAATGTAAATTCGTTCTACATTGAAATGATAGAGCGGCCCTTGAATGATTGTGTGGCTCTTGACGCAGATGACGTTGATAAATAAAGCCAATTTTGAACAAAAACCACGTGTTTTCTTTCTCAGACCCGGGACTTTTCAGCCCAGGTGTTATTAAAGAAATTATTGGATGAAAAGCCATGATGTAAAGGATTTGGGCCATAAGAAATTAGTTATCATCGTTCTGTAGCGTTCGCTGTTGACGGTGATCACCTCACTAACGTCGTTTTCAAAAAAAAAACGAACCAATTACGCCGCCGGCCCAAAATCCAAACGGTAACTTTTTGAGAATGCATTATCATCTGGTGAACCTCGTGTGGGTTGGTGTCGGCCCCTATACGGCAATTTTGCTTGTTAACACAGCCATTAATAAAAAAATGCGCCTCGTCACTAAAGCTGATTTTTCTGCCAAAATTGGGGTCCTCTTCCAAACGATTCGAAGCCCAGTCAGCGAACAAACGGCGTTATCTATGGTCATGAACTTGAGCTCCTGGGTCAGTTGGAGCTTGTACGGGTGTAGGCCCAAGTCCCGACGCAAAATTCGCCAAGTTGAAGTCTGCAAAAGGCCGAGTTCTTGTGCACGGCGAGGAATAGACTGCCTTGGGTTCTGCTGCACACTTTCACGGACCGCGGCGATGTTCTCGGCTGATCTTGCTTTCCTTGAACGTACGGGTGTTGGCTGATTGTTTACTGAACCGGTCGTCTCAAATTTGGCCACCAAACGTTGAAGAGTCGACTGTGAAGGGCCACCGCGTCTACCGTAAAATTAGCGTAATGCGCGCAACGTTTGCGTTAACGAACACTCATTTTGATGATAAAGTTTCATCATTTGAACGTGCTGTTCAATCGTATAACTTGTCATGATGATTTAGCATAAACAACTGAATAATAAACAAAAGATTTGACAGATGTCACCAAAACAAAATTGCCGCCATGGGGCGCCAAAATCTACCTGCACCAATTGAAAAACCCTTAATAATTTGCCGTTAGTTTTACCAAGTCTTTTTTCACTCACTGAGGTAGAGAAAAACATAAACTTTTTGAGCAAATAGTAAAGCCACCAAAGCCCGTGGGTTGGGCTATCTATCGGGCGCGTCCCCAGGTGGGGACGGCCAGGGGACTGGAGGCCCTGTCCGGGAAGCCAATGTGGCCTTACGGACGTTACGGACTGTCACATGAAAAAACCCTGTATTAGGTTATTTCGAAAGTTTCATTTTTTCAATGTCACGTGTTTTTGTAGCTCCATATCTCAATAAATATTTAGTGAGTGGGTCTGTTCGACCCTCCACCTGTGAATCAACAACTCTCTGCTATTAATATTTCCTTCTCCCGGAGGAATCCACTATGTCGTGGTATATACTGTTCGATAGAGAATTTTGTTCTGGAGATTTTAACCTCGAAAAAGAGCCCCGAAGTGGTCGACCTACAGTTATCCAGGACGAGGATTTGCGGACCCTGGTAGAGATTAACTAATTACAAACAGTGCGTGGGATGGCGAAAGAACTGGGCTTCAGCTCCCAACTTATCAGAACTTTTATCAGTATTTTGAAATTTGCAGGAATCCTTGAATATATAACGAGATTACATTATTTATCTTCAATTATACAAGCACAATTGAAAATGACTAGAATGTCTGGAGATTATGAATATAAATATTAGACAATGCAAACACTTACTCGAACAAATATACGCCCTATAGAAATGTTTTATCATATACGGGGTGTGTCATTGATGTGTGGATGATGTTAGCTGCTTTCCTAGTAGTCTATATTGATAATAATAATAGCCTTTATTACCCAACAGTGGTTCAGCCTGGGGCTTGAACCACCGACTAACACGGCGGTCGATTTGAGTGAGTGAACAAAGCACCCACGTCGAACCGACCGGCACCGACCGACATTCATTTGACAAAACGTTTAGTCCACATAAACGTAGCATCTATCCCCCGCTTACAAATTATTGATACACCCCGTATAAAGTTGATCACCTCTAACCAGTTCTCATTGCACGAGAACAGTTCAATGCAAACGCATTCGTTGACACAAATTACTCGAGTAATCACCGCTTAGGTGCAAACAAGGCAAAGGTTAAAGTTTTATATGAGTATTTAGAATTGATAACGTATGCGTTTCAAAACATGCAAAATACTGGCACTTCTGAATAGTTCTTTCTGATAAATAACAGCGAAGTAGACCATTAACATAGTAGTTTTGAACTAATCGGCCTTGAAGTTACATTAAAATGTGTTTAAAAATAGAAATCACAAATCTCCTAATGATAACTTGGAAATACAAAAGTGATCAACAATGTATTGCATTTTTATATTTGAAGTATAAAAGGAAAACTGTTCTTGATGACCACGATGTTATAGGAAAATTTGTAGTGACTTCATGATCACTTGGATGATCTGTTCATTATATTCATATGCTTTGAAATATCCCAAATTTATACCTATTACTACCAATTTAGACGTTGCTCGGTAGGAGTCAAGAGCTTACAACAATGCTTGACTGTTATTGGCTTGTGTGTGAGGGTGAATTCTTCCGATCACTCCGCACACAATTCAGTAGCGTAAATTTCCGCTTGAAATACAGTCGCATAGGTTCCTAGACGGGTTGATATCTCTGTCCTGGGTCTGCAAGTGAAAACACTTGCACCGGAACGTGTTGTTGATCTATCTGTGAACCAACAACTATCTCCTCTTAAAATCCTTCTCCCGGAGGATCCAGTCCTCTATACTCGGGAACAGTACTTTATAAGACAGTTCGTAGTTGACAGTTGGAGGCATAAAGTTAGAGGTCATTTCCAGAAGACTGTGACTTCCAGTGTCAACCAACAATCTGTTGCACTGGCGCTTTTATTATTCATACAGAAGTCATTTACTGTTTGCCAAATTTATACTGTTATTAATGATTTTTTCATTCTTATACAAAATCTTTGACTTTGAGCTGCCGGACGTCCTCGAAGTTAAAAATGTTGGCGAAGTTATCACATCGATGTAACGAATTTCACATATAATATTATGAATACTGTGACTCGTTTCTTGATGGAAATTACATTACACTATCTATGATAATAATTATGGAATTTTCACAACAAATTTTATTTAAAACACGTTTCGCTGCATGGTAACATCATCAGTTATTGGTACATCAACTATTCTAGAATATCTTTTATACAACAGTAGATCAATACATGTATGAAATCTTCGTCTAAGAGAAAGATTGTCAATTAGTAACAGTTCCTTCTCGTGAACAAAGCCTTAGCGGGAAAGCAACATCTCAAATACCATTTCTGAAAACTGTATCAAAAACGTACTAGACAAAATTTCTATATTTCATTCCCAAGGAATTTTATCTTTATAGCAAACTATACACTGTTGTAAACAATGGTTTATGAAGGGAAATGACACAAGGGATTTTTTTGTTGGTTCTGTTTGAACTAGACCATCACAAAAATAAGTAATACTACCTTCTATTTTATCAATCAGAATGTGCCTTCCACAACCCATTCCATGCTTCTAGTTTGTGTAGCATTTCATTAAGAGGAATGTTGAATTATCTAACCGAATTATTCGTGGAAGCAAACAAACTAATGTTAAAAATATAGCAACATAATTTTTATTTTCTGACTTCCTGATGCCAGCAAAATATTTAAAAAAATCTAGATCTCTCAATTGAAAAAAACAGTTTCTTTTTCAAATAAATACAATCACAAAGTTTGCTTTATGAACTACAAAGAATAAGCTGAAAATCTTTGGAGAATTTTGTATTTGGTATTTCAACAGTCCATTTTTCTCGTTAATTTTAGCACCTAAAACTCACCCAAAAATTGGAATGAAGTATGCAAATCCTAATATAATAGCCAGTACTCTGATGGCCCACAGTCCACAGTCAATTTTGTGAGTAACGATATGGTGTTTGAGGGCTTCATAATTTACCCCTCTGGGACGCTGTGTACCGCTAGAATCTGCAGTGGAGGTGCTGGCTGTGGCCTCGTTAGAATCGCTCATTTTGTTCAATGGATATAAGAGTAGTTTGGGCTCTGAAATGAATAACGTGTTAACTAAGTTTATCACCCCCCAATCAGCCCTTTAACTCACTTTGCGAGTACGAATCGACGTAATACGTTACGGTATTTTATTTCTGATTAATGAATTAATTCAATGAATACACGTCAATTCATTCATTTGACAATCACTGATTCATAGGAAAAGAGCATATTCATCTGACAGAAGTGACATTGACGTTGACACTGTGTTGACAGTATCCACGATTCAAACCAGACTAGCATCTGTAGACAACAATCACAACGCATGAGTATTTCGTGATAATGGATGTAAAGGAAACAGACATATTTGCCAAATTTCGTAAAATTTCAGCGAATAAGATAACTGATATGAATGCAGCAAAGAAATTGATCTGAACTTCATTGCGAATTGAATAAATTATGGAATTACTGAACATAAAACATAAGTAGAACAGGTTATCTTTTATTTGCATTTGGGAACAATACGTGTTTTGTAGTTATTCTACGCCAGAAGATGAAGTACACAGTATACTTCATCTCCTGAAGACGCCGTCGAGAAGAGTTTTGTTTTTGGTGTTTGGACTAATGATGTAGGAAACTATTTTATAACCACAGTTTCTTTTCTATTTTAAGTGACCATGTTTTAGTCTCCTTGATATATGTAATTTCCAATATTTTCAGGAAGGAAGTTGCAATGAACAGGGTCAAGAGATGAAGAAGACAATGACGGAAACACAAATAATAATATTATAAGACTAAAAATTTTAAACAAATCAAGTTTTGAATAGGACATATCAATTCATATATTGATTATGGTGGTCTCAGCTGAAGTTTACTGATTTGGATTTAACATATCATATAGCATAATGAAATGTTCAAGTTAGTTACGTCTGTTACATTTCATTTTATATATGCAAAACACTTCAAGGGCGACACAGGTGATTCAGGTTCATTCGTTTCTATGACTCAGATATGTTGAACCGAAGTAAAGGTAATCATAGTCAGAATAGTATATATAACTCCAATCGGGCCCTATATGCCATTATAAAAAAATACCAAATTGATTCAATATATCTTGCTGACGCGATACTTGTTATAAAAAATGCTTGGTTATACACAAGATGCAAAGAATACTGGTATCCCTGTTGTGATCCTTTGAACCCTTTCCCTAAAGGAAATATTTTGTATCTTGTATCATCAACATGATTCTGCCAGAAGTTTATGAATCTTCTTGCCATCCAAGTGTTCTATGTTTGTTTGGCAAAGCTTAAAGCGACGCCTATGACAGGTTCTGGTCCGATGAAGCTGCTTGTAGCACCCTCCTTTGCAAGGGAATCAGCAGCCTCATTGCTTTCCAAGCCAGTATGGCTAGGAATCCAGACCAGAGACAATCTGTTAAGTCTTCCTATCGACGAGAGTCGTTTTTGGCAATTTGCTACCAATTTAGACGTTGCTCGGTAGGAGCCAAGAGCTTTCAACGCCGCATGACTCTTCGAGAATATTTTTATTGATTTGTGTATGAGGTTGAATTCTTGCAATCTCTCCGCTCACAATTCAGTAACGTGAATTTCCGCTTGAAGTATAGTCGCATAGATTCCTGGATGAATGGGTACGTGAACAAACAAAGTGGTCGAATTTGGATCGATATCTATCTACATGAGATGAAAGAGCATCAATGCATCCCGAGAAAGTCACTATGTATGGATGTTGAACTGGCGGCGTCATCGTTCCATATTTCTTTGAGAACGGCGTTAGCCAATACTATAAAACCATTCGATAATATCAATCCTGTTGTTTTCCTTGGAGAACTTAAACTTTTAGGAATTTGAGCAAATAATAAGTGGATAAAATCATAACCTAGTGAGAAACAACAAACGGTTACAATTGGAAACTCCAAATTAGAAGAAACTTATGTGAGAGTTGGACTACCGAAGGGATCTGTCCTGAGCCCTTTGCATTGCTTGAGCAATGGATTCATTATGAATCTCTTGAAACTCTTCTTGCCAAAAAATATTTGTTATGATTATAGTAAATAATAATGGAGTACAGTTTCAACACCAAACCGTTATTTTTAACACCTCGATACGTTTTTTAATTACCAAGTAATAATCTTCAAGAGAAGTTTAATCTAAACCCTATTAATATTCATTACTACACCAGAGGTTCCAAACGGTAGCATCACAATATGATTATAGTAATTTGATATGATTGACTGTTTATACGAACTGAAATTTTTAGGAATAAGACTGAATATTGAGATCAGATATGAGACGCATAATAATATTATAGTAGGCATAATTTTGGGGATATACAGCCTAGTTTCATTCTAATCTCCTTTGGTTGATCAGCACATATGGATAATGCATACGTACCCATAAAATGGGTACCTGTATTCATATGATTAACGCAAGAATACTACTAACGACTATAGACTAAGAGCCGACCCTGTACCAATTATGCAATTTATTTGTTGATACTGTCATATGCGTGCGATTGTGAGAAAGAATCTTATCTCAATTTCTAGATTTGTTTAGTTGCGCTTCCTAATATCAATTGACAACATTGACGAATCCTCAATATGACGCGCAGAAACATGTGCAAATTGTTTTTGTTCACAATCATAGTGAAAGTAGTCGAAGGCGTGAATATCCTCGTTGTTTTTCCCCACGAAGGAAAAAGCCATTTCATGGCTTTTCAAGGCCTGTTCGAAGAGCTGGCTAAAAGAGGTCATAACCTCACCGTTATCTCAGCTTTTCCAAAAAAAACTCCAATACCGAACTGGAGGGATATAAGGTTGGTTTTTTACGTAGTTTAGGAAGTTGATTTGAAATTATGATATTTTGATAAGGGTGTTATGAGATGATGAATTTGATATGTTCAAAGTGATCAGTTTCAGTAATTTTTAAATTTATAAAAAAACGAAGCTGGCAACATACTGCTGAGAAGCGATCTCTCAGATGTCGTCTTCGTCTTTTCTCCTTCGAAAAGTTTAGTGCAAAAATGCATTTGTGATTCTGTGTTTATCTCCGCTGATATATTGTATGATCTCATCATATTTGACTGCGTTGTAAGTTCTGAACAATATCCAGACTTATTGTATGATTATAATTGATAATTTCCATGTTGAATTGCTTCGTCGTTTACTTAACCCCTCCTGACCTCACGAAGAAGTCACGGTGGTTTTCAGGTCCATGAGCCCCATAGGCATTAAATAATCTAGTTTTACTTAATTAGCACTTCATTTTGATTGTCTATGTATTAGTTTACGAGTATCTCAAGACTTTATTGCATATTGTTAATTTTTTTTCTCAAATCAGGTATCTCTAATTTTTTTTTCGCTTATTCGCGGTCGTTTCCATCTTAATTTCTTGCAAGCACCTAATTAGCACTTTATTACCACGCTTAGTTTATACCTGATAGAGCATTCGTCCACGTTTTCGAGAGACCTGATTCTTAGATCTGTTGTTTAGCAAAATTGGAAGCTTTTGTTTATTAATTAGAAAATTTTACGATCCTCACCGTTCAGCACTTAATTAGCACCTA